TACCTTCTGGAACAGCTTGTATAAGAGTATCATCCCATCCCATCAATCCTGGAAGGATTAAAAGCGTATTTGCCTGGATTTATTCAGGCAAATATTAAGGTGAGCGCATAGGGAGACCACTAAGCACTCGGCGAGAGGGAATAAGGAATCCACCTGCACACTGCACTTTATTTTGAAAGACTTTTGATATTATTATTTTACTATATGCACGTGCACACTTTTATATGCTTTTGCACAATATAAATGGAGTGATCACAGTAGATCAGAGGGGCACTTATTTAGATTATATGGATTTGAATTTAATTGTTAATTTTCACAGTCACAACCAATTTAGGATTGATTGTTATCAGTCACATGTATGAAGGTTCTTGATTTATTTATATTTATATAATTTGCTTGATTCACTAGTCATAGTGATTCACTATTAATTTATTACTGCTATTTTTATTTTTATTTAATAACTGTATTTATTGGTCACAGAGATTTATGAATTGTTATAGATAAAATTTCATGCACCTCTAGGAGTAAGAGATATATATATATGAGTTAATAGGAGCGCAGCACTATTTATTTATAACATTGTATATACACTAGCAAGTGAGTCAGTGCAAGTGCCAGCGCACCAAACACATCATATAAGAGGATAACTATATATTACCCACTGAATACCTCATTTCATAATAGCTCACAAGTATTCACCATTTATATTAGAGAAAATATTGTTATTTTCAAAACAAATGTTTTTTCTTCAAAAACATTTTTTTTTTTAAGCTCCAAAAATAAAACGTTCACAGGTGATCAAATAGCACCAAAAGAAAGCTCTATTTGTGTGAAGAAAAGGACATAAATTTCATTTATGTACTGTTTTACATGACCACGCAATTGTCCGTTAAACTAGTGCAGTGGTGTATAGCAAAAAACTTGCGTAAATTGCAGTATCTATACCATAGTTTGTAGATGCTATAACTTTCACACAAAGCAATCAATATACACTTATTGGGATTTTTTTTACCAAAAACATGTAGCAGAATACATTTTGGCCTAAATGTATAACTAACTTTGAGTTTACTATATATTTTTTATAGCCGAAAGTAAAAAATATAGTTTTTCTTAAATATTTCAGTCCTTTTTTTGTTTATAGAGCAAAAAATTAAAAGTGCATAGATGATCAAATACCACTGAAAGAAAGCTCTATTTGTGTGAAAAAAAGGACATAAATTTCGTTTGGGTATTGCACTGCATGAGCTCGCAATTATCAGTTGAATTAGTGCAGCGCCGAGTAGCAAAAAGAGACCTGGTCATTAAGGGGGGTAAATCCTCTACAGGGCAAGTGGTTAAGGAGATTCATTCTCTCTATTTGTTCTGTTTACCATCATTATTGAAAGTGAAAGCAAAAGAAAATCCCAAATTTGGGTTGTCCCAGAAAAGGTAATAGAGGTGAAAACTTCCAATAAGGACACTAGTTCTGATAACTAGAAGGGTTCCCAAGGAACTCCTTTCATTTGCATAGATTTCCTCTGACTTCCTGTTTGGCTATGGGATAGGAAGTGAAAGTATATCTCCACAATGGGACACAGATGACAAAAGAAAAAAAAGAAGTTTTGCCTATAGTTCTAGTTTAGTAATGTTTATCAGATATTTCCTGTAAAAGAAAGGTGCCCATAGACATATAAAGTATAATATTTTATTTTGTTTTTCTTCATAGACGTATAATGATAACTGGAAAAATTTACTGCTAAATCACTGGCACATAAATGTACACATGTAGTGGTTAAGCCTTTATGTTTATGTATTGTCACGATGCCCCTGGTGATGAGCTTATGTTGCAAAATCAGTAGTGTAAAGAATTTAGCACATCTGATCGGTTCTTCCCAATGACTGGCCATAGATCTAATAGTGTCCGCTGAACGGCAGTTTTGATATTCTGATTCATATCAGCCAGAAAGTGCAATGCTCTTCTTGTGTCTATGGACACCTAAACTCAGAAAGGGATTTCAATTTTGCCAGGCATTTCGCTTTAAAATTGTGAGAAGAAAAATGCCTCCTCAAGGTTCACTGTTTATTATGTATACTTTATGAGCCGGTGCCATTTGAATGAACATGAGTATTGATTTTAAGGGTTTTTTTAATGAATTGGGTTGCATCATACATCCTGGAACTCATTTTATAAAGGTTAATAAATATACATATTATTTTCTGAAGTGCAGCTATTTTTTCTTGCAATGATAACTATACTGTACGCAGAGTTTTGTTTATTCCAAGGGCAGAACACAGTGGTGGTACATCTCTTGCAGATAAAGCACATAAAGTCTGAAGCAGCACTGGGTGCAAACACAAAGATTAAGTGGGTGCAGAAAAATAGAAAATTTGAATTTCACAATTAGAAAAAAATCACTGAACATAATTCCGTATGCAGTTAAAATGTAATGCTTTCTCAATAACAGGTTGGAGGTACGTACTACATTCTCTAAGCCACAGATGAATAAAGACACCCAGATCTTTCACGAAGATGAAACTGAAGTGCTGCTGAAAAGTCCAAGCATGCAGATGAACAATTGCTCACTCCTAAAGATTATCTTCAAAACGTTTGGATCCTACTACCTGCTCAGTGTCCTATTAATGGTTCTGTATACTGCATTCCTCTTCATCAGTCCTGAACTATTGAGGTAATCACTATTTTCAATTAAAAAATGGCATTTATATTGACAACTGAATGATAAACATACAGTATGTGGAATGGGGGTCTGTAACTTAATTACCAGACTACATTCCAATTACTATCCCTTATTTTAAGTGCTGTCCACCTCTATCCAGTGTCAACAATGGGGTCATATTCAGACATAAAATCCTGATGACCTGTTTTTAAAGTTTTTGGGTTAATTTAGATTGAAACTAATAAGTAGATGCATTGTTTTCTTGCTTTTTATTCATTATTCATAAATGTAATATGGTAAAACATGAAAACAAGAGCGGGAAAAAGGAGTCCAAATGCACACTAACCACTTATAGGTTCTATGATCCTAACATTACAATGTATACAAAGTATGGTTATAACTTTCACTCGGAAGATCATTGGTTAATGCATTTAGTAGTATTTGCCAAATGCCCAGCTCTGCTCAAAGTCTAGTCCAGCAGCACCAAAAAGAAGCATGTCAAAATATATAGAATTACCAGAACTGTGTAAAATAATATTGGGCACACTCTTAGTTTATTAAGAGCAGCGACACTTGAATTTTATTCAAAGAAGGTAAAATATTACACTCACAGATGTTCCACAATAATAAAGCTTACACAGCCACCAAGGAAGTTCAGTAGTATGAATCTTAGAACGTAAATAACTTCCAAACAAGCAAAAAAAAGTTTTCTATTAGTATAAAAACAAGTATTGCACTCTCAAATTGGATCATACACAGGTACACTATACTGCCAAAAGTATTGGGGTGTCTGCCTTTACACGCACATGAACTTTAATGGCATCCCAGTCTTAGTCAGTAGGGTTCAGTATTGAGTTGGCCACCCCTTTGCAGTTAGAACAGCTTCAACTCTTCTGGAAAGGCTGTCCACAAGGTTTAGGAGTGTGTCTAAGGCGGGTGTCGGCAACCCGCGGCTCCAGAGCCGCATGCGGCTCTTTTTCATCTTTGCTGCGGCTCCGGAGCACACTGCCCACCAGGTGACAGGCAATAGGGTTTCAGTGGTCGGCAAGCCGCGGATCGCAAGCCACATGCGGCTCTTCTGTGTGTCTGGGCGGCCGCCTCAGGACTCTTTTAATCCGGCCCGCGGAGCGTGGAACATTAGCTGTCAGGATCGGGGCAGCCAGGATGTAGGCGTGGCAGCGTGACGAACTCCTCTCACAGTCCGCCCTGAAGACCGGAACACAGCGCGGGAACACAGCGAGAGGAACGCGCGGAGCAAAGGTAAGTGAATTGAGACAATATGGGGAATTAATTACTATAGGGGGGATGAATTACTATGGGGGATGAATTATTATATGGAGGATTAATTACTATGGGATGAATTACTATGGAGGATGAATTACTATATGGGGGATGAATTACTATGGGGGATGAATTACTATATGGGGGATGAATTACTATGGAGGATGAATTACTATATGGAGGATGAATTACTATATGGGGGATGAATTACTATGGGGGATGAATTACTATGGAGGATGAATTACTATAGGGGGGGTTTACTATAGGGGGGATGAATTACTATGGGGGATGAATTACTTAGGGGGGATGATGAATTACTATAGGGGGGATGAATTACTATGGGGGATGAATTGATATGGGGGATGAAGCTAACTGCACGATCCTGTATATAGCATTAAGGTAGAACAATATATGCAGTGTCGGATTTGTTTTAAATGTTGAATGGTTTTGCGGCTCCCAGTCTTTTTTTTCCCTTCGGAAACGGGTCCAAGTGGCTCTTTATGTCTTAAAAGTTGCAGACCCCTGGTCTAAGGGAATGTTTGACCATTCTTCCAGGTCAGGCACTGTTGTCTGACGAGAAAGGCCTGGCTCACAGTCTCCACTCTAATTCATCCCAAAGGTGTTCTATCGAGTTGAGGTCAGGACTCTGTGCAGGCCAGTCAATTTCCTCCACCCCAAACTCACTCATCCATGTCTTTATGGACCTTGCTTTTTGCATTGGTGTGCAGTCATGTTGGAACAGGAAGGGGCCATCCCCAAATTGTTCCCAAAAGTTTGGAGCATGAAATTGTCCAAAATGCCTTAAGTGTTTCCTTCACTGGAACTAAAGGGCCAAGCCCAACCCCTAAAAAACAACCCCCCGCCATAATCCCCCTCCACCAAACTTTACACTTGGCACAATGCAGTCAGGCAAGTACCATTCTCCTAGCAACTGCCAAACCCAGACACATCCATCGGATTGCCAGACAGAGTAGTGTGCTCTAGAGTCCAGTGGTGGCGTGCTGTTCACCACTGCATCCGACGCTTTGCATTGCGCTTGGTGATGTAAGGTTTGGATGCAGCTGCTCAGCCATGGAAACCCATTCCATGAAGCTTTCTATGCACTGTTGTGCTAATCTGAAGGCCACAGGAAGTTTGGAGGTCTTTAGCTATTGACTCTGCAGACAGTTGGTGACTTCTACACACTGTGCACTTCAGCATGCGCTGACCCCGCTCTGTTATTTTACGTGGTCTACCACTTCGTGGCTGAGTTGCTTTTGTTCCCAGTTGCTTCCACTTTGTTATAATGCCAGTAACAGTTGACCGTGGATTATTTAGTAGCAAGGAAATTTCACGGATAGACTTATTGCACAGGAGGCAACCTATAACAGTACCATGCTTGAATTCACTGAACTCCTGAGAGCGACCTATTCTCTCATAAATGTTTGTAGAAGCAGTCTGTATGCCAAGGTGCTTGAGTTTATAGACCTCTGCCAATGGAGGTGATTGGAACACCTGAATCCAATGATTTGAAGGGATGTCCCAATACTTTTGGCAATATAGTGTATATCCTCATGGCTGCGGTATAAGGCTCTGCTTCCACTTTGGGTTTGGTTTGCTAGGGAACATGTATCAGGATCAACCCCCCTCTCAAGCCTTTACTCGAAATGTATCACCTCATCATCCTAGACTTAGAAGTTGATACCGAGTCTTATCTTGCATCCCTGAGGAGGCGGAAATCTCTTATACCTTGGTGGATTCTCTGCATCTGGATCCCTTGCTTTCAGGAGGCACTTTGCCTGGAAACGTAGTCTGACTGCTGGCCACAGCAAACTTAGAAACATTATCCAGATGCCATGATATGTTCTCCTTTTATGAACTAGTCTGTGAGAGCAATCCTTGTTTTGTGCTATGAAAATGTTTTTACATTTAATGCACTAGGTTTGTACCCAATGCTGTCTTTTTATTATACACAGTTTGGAAGTTCTGTTTGCCCTGAAATTCATACCGCTGGATCCTCTGGCAGCTCTGATTTAATTTCTTAATTTTCAAAAAAATGCAACTACAAAAAACTTACCATGCCTCTTGCTAAATACCTCAGACTGTCTACTTTCCAGAAAAAAGGGGTCATTTAGTGGGGGGAGGGGGGTATTTTTACTGTCCTGGCATTTTAGAGCCTCATAAACTGAGATAGGCAGTCAGTACATCAGGATTAATCAATTTACAAGTATATACTGTATACCATAGTTTGTGGACTCTTGCACAGACTAAATATTATACACTTTTATTTTTACCAAAGAAATATAGCAACATACATTTGACCTATATTTCTTAAAAAAGAATATTTATTTGCAAAAGTTTATAACAGAAACTAAGAAAAACAGGGTTCTTTTTCAAAATTTTTGGTGCTTTTTTCACTTACAGTATATAGCGAAAAATAAAAACCCAGTGGTAATGAAATACCACCAAAAGAAAGCTCTTTCTGTCTCAAAGAAATTTTAAAAATATCATTTGGGTACAGTGTTGCCTGACTGAGTAATTGTCATTCATTCAAACTGTGATAGCTTAAAATTGGCCTGGACAGGAAGGGGGTAAAAGTGTCCGGTATTGAAGTGATTAAGGACAGGCAAGCTTTTTTATGTAAGGACAAATGTTCTTTAAGTACAAGATTCTTTACTGTAAAGATTTTCTCTGCTGTGCAGCTAGAACATTTATTAATAAGTGTATTTGGATCTGTTTGGATCTGCCAGTCCTCAACCTCTTTTTGAGGACATTTTAATTCCTCTTTTTTCAACTCTTTGCTAGTTTGAGTCTTCATTTCATTCTCAGAATCTCTTCTATCCCAGAACTTTACCTTAGCTTCTTCCCCTGTGACAATATGCAATGTATGTAATAACTTACTTTAGCCAGTAAGTTGGACCCTTTAGCCAGTATAGGAGCTGTTAATAAATAGCATCTATTCAGGAGGTGTATTCCCTGTTGACTTCTCACTAACTTCCCAGTGCATGCAACTTACATAAGACATTCACCATTATTACACATTTGTTCTAAGTATGCTGAGAGATAAGGCACCAATTCATCCTTGTGCATGTCAGAAGGAGTAGCTCAGTTCTATAAACTAACTTATATGTATGTAGCTGGCCTCTGAGTGTACAGCTTGCAAACTCCCATACAAATATCCTCATAATGTATTGCAGACATTATAATCTTATTGTACAGGGACTGAACAACTGCATATGTCATCTTTTTGAGCTTGAGGTTGTGTGGAGTAAAAGTATTTGGTTATATAAAACATTCAAGGTTCAACATGACAGTTTATAGACAAATGATCTACGTAACTGTAGAATGTGTAAGAAGAACGGCCTAACCGGTTTGTAAAGTTGTTGATCATTGATACCATGATTATTTATTATACTTATTATTGTATTGTGATATTTATTGATTATTGGGAGACACAGGAAGATATTTAGGGTTATGCAGCCACCTTCAGGGGACTGGATATTGGCAACCAATAGTTGTAAATAAACAGCAAAACCCTTCTGCTTCTAGCATGCCTCTGTCATTTGCTAGTGTCTTCAGGCATTGGACTTTCCTCAAATTTTTGGTTTTAGCAAGACTAATTTTTAATCTAGAATGATTTATTTGTAGCTGCAGAGCTTAAAAGTGCTCACTATTGCAGCTTTCTGGATTGGCTTGAACTCTACATTACAGAGAGGTTGTGACTGGTTTCCACGGGAAAGGCCTGTAATGTGACCTCAGGGCACTGGGCTGTGTGTAGGATACCTCCAGGCAACTGGTGCACTATGTGTTTTAGCTGCAGAGTGCTGTACAGGCCCAGGCTGTCTTGCACCCATCTGGTGGAACCCTGTCCATAAAGATATGCTAGGGGCAAAGTTTGTCTGAAGGGTGACCTACTCCAGGACCTTTGGGCAAAAGGATTATCTGACAGCTGCTCATCCTGCTGGAACCTCTAGGCACATTCAGATCACCACTAGTGAGTGCAAGGGTTGTACCCTTGGAAGCCTGCTACCCTGACAGGTCTTGAATTTTTTCATGGGGTGCACCACCCCTGGTACTGAAACCTTTTTTAATGTTTGCCACAGCCATCCTGTAGGTGCTGCAACATCTTGGAACAGTTTGTCATTCATTCCACTCCTGGCTGCAATATTTTGTTGGTGCCTTGACACTTGTTGAATTCTATCGCACGCACAACGTTTGGGTCTGTGACACATTTAAGTGGTACCCCTGCCTATTGTAATTTCTGGTGGAGAATGCCCACCCTCTCCTTTTCTTCCTGAAGCTCTTTATGTGCTGCCAACTGCTCTGAAGACCTGAAACACTTCTTCTTGCAGCTGCCTTCAAGTGACCTGGTTATGGATGGCATTAAGCCTTCCTGCTCCAAAAGCAGTTTGTGAGTAGTAGGGCCTGCAGGGCAGATCAATAGCACAAAGGAAGCTCCTCCGTAGGTCACACTACTACACTGGGTGGCCCAGGCTCCTTTGCCCTGCTAGAGTCCACTCCATCCTAAGTTACCACCATTGGGTGAGCTTCTGTCTGGTCCAGAGAGGAATTCACCTCTGCTATGTCGCAGTTCATGGATGAGGTCTTGGCTATGATTGTTGATTTCCTTCGCAGGGGCCACAAGCATTAGCAAACATCATCTACACCAGGGTTTGTCTTGGATTTCCCTGTGCTGGAAGATGCTTCTGCACAGTCTATAAGAGAAGAGGAGGAGGACACCATTTCATAGAAACATAGAAAAGTGATAGAGGAAATAAGACCTTGTGGTCCGTCAAGTCTGTTCATTTTATTTATTTATGTATTTATTTTTTCTTTCTTTCTTTTAAATTTACACATTTTTTGTTAACTTTTCTGTCTAACTTTCTGACTATAAATCTGTTTGCCCCATGCCTGTTTGAATACTTACTGTTGGTTGACTGACTGACTACCTCTGCTGGAAGTCTATTCCAAGCATCAACTACTCTTTCAGTAAAATAATACTTTCTAATATTAGTTTAGAACTTTCCTCCAATTAGTTTGAGGTCATGTCCCTGTGTTTGCTGATTTTGGTTTTATATTGAAAATACTGCCCTTTTGAACCTTACTCACCCCCTTGATGTATTTAAAGGTTTCAATAATGTCTCTCCTTTCCCTGACAGAGAACCATTCCTCTGTAAATGCAGCAAGGTTCAAGTTGTCCCTAGACATAAGAGCTGCCAGCTCACAAAACTTGTTGCCTAAACTGCGAGCATTAATGCACATGTTGTGACAAACACTTCTATATACTGATTTCCATCACTGGTAACATGGTGCAAGAGGAGTTTCAGTCTGCGGACATTATTTATTATACTGTATGTATGAAGCTGCTACATTCACGTATAACCAAATGCAAGCATATACAGATCTACATACTGTACCTCTAATGCAGAGCTTAACAGATGTATTAGTCTCCTAGTGAATTATAACAAAACTGTAACAGTGTAACAGCAATAAATCAAAATCCTAAACTGCAAAATAAGTATCAAAGTGTCTGTTTTTTTCTTTTTCACAAACACAAATTCTTTACCCAAGCACACGTGAGCACCTCCACTAGTAATTGGAATCTCACTCACCATCTCTTTAGCCTCTCTTTCTCAAGACAGGCAATGGTGCTTTTCTGCACAAATTTTGTTTTCGATGATGAAACGTGTTGGGGTGGAGTCTGGCAGCACACTGAGAACCCAGGTTGTATGTGGATACAGATTGATGAGTATTTCTCAGCCTAAAGCTGGGGATATATCTGGGACAGCGTTCGATTGAATGACAGGAAAGAGTTAAAATCACAGCTTTCTGCTGGTGTGCACTATTTGTATGTGAGTGTAATTCTAACCTTTTCTAAGTAAAAAAAAAAAGTAATGCTTTATTATGCTATGGCCCCTTTCACATGAGGTGGACCCGTCAGCGGATCCGATTCCTCAGCGGGGGATCTCTCTGCTGATCCCTGCTGAGCAAGAGGATGACAGGTCCATGTCCACTCCATTGCTGCAGAGCGGACACAGACACAGCCTGCTGTTCTCTATGGCTGTTTACACTTGCTGCTCCATAGAGGAAAATAAAGGTTCCGATCGGGTCTGCCTGAAAAACTGGCTGGCGGACCCGATCGGACATACCATTGGAAAGGGGTCTATGTGTGATTCTTCTCTAATTTCTGGTTACCTATTGCTGAGGTATTAATTGAGGAGTTGATCCAGGGAGCTGGCCAAGTGTGAGTCTGGGTTGCTGGAACTAAAATCGGCCAAACTAGGAGGGTTTTAACCTGGAAAAAGTGCTGTTGCCTGTCTTGAGAAAGAGAGGCTAAAAAGAGGGTGAGTAAGATTCCAGTTATGGGTAGAGGTGCTCATCATTCTAAAACTGGTGCACACAGAACCTAGTGTAGATGTGTATAGTAATCAATCAGATTTTTATCAGGTTTTATTGTCAAAGCTTATTTGAACAAGCTTAAGTTAGAAGCTGATTTGCCACTATGCACAGCTGCACCAGATTTTCTGTGCACAGGTTTTAGTAAATCCCCCGCTTTGTGTTTATGAAAAATAAAAAATTAACACTATGGAGACTTTTGTTCTAAGTTAAAGAAGGTTTGATACTTTTAGAATGTTGCAGTTTGGGATTTTGATTTATTATTGTTATACTGTTGTATTTTGTTTAAATTCATATAGACCAATAGATAGAAGCTCTGCATATTTTATATATATATATATACATATACAGTACACACACACACACACTATATTGGCAAAAGCATTGGGACGCATGCATTTACACGCACATGAACTTTAATGGCATCCCACTCTTAGTCCGTAGGGTTCATTATTGAGTTGGTCCACCCTTTGTTCCTATAACAGCTTCAACTCTTCTGGGAAGGCTCTCCACAAGGTTTAGTAGTGTGTCTATGTGATTGTTTGACCATTCTTCCAGAAGAGCATTTGTGAGGTCAGGCACTGAGGTCGGACGAGAAGGCCTGGATCTCAGTCACTGCTCTAATTCATCCCAAAGGTGTTCTATTGGGTTGAGGTTAGGACTCCTTGCTTTATGCATTGGTGCGCAGTCATGTTGGAACAGGAAAGGGCCATGCCCAAAACTTTTCCCACAAAGTTGGCAGCATGAAATTGTCCAAAATGTCTTGGTATGCTGACACCTTAAGAGTTCCCTTCTCAGGAACTAAGGGGCCAAGCACAACCCTTGAAGAACAACTCCACACCATAATCCCTCCTCCACCAAACTTTACACTTGGTACAATGCAGTCAGGCAAGTACCATTCTCCTAGCAATTGCCAAACCCAGACACATCCATTGGATTGCCAAACAGAGAAGCATGATTTATTATTCCAGAGAATACGTCTCCACTGCTCATGTCTCCACTGCTTTACACTACTGCATCCGACGCTTTGCATTGCACTTGGTGATGTAAGGCTTGGATGCAGCTGCTCGGCCATGGAAACCTATTCCATGAAGCTCTCTACTCACTGTTGTGCTAATCTGAAGGCCACAGGAAGTTTGGAGGTCTTTAGCTATTGACTCTGCAGACAGTTGGCGACTTCTGCGCACTGTGCACTTCATCATGCGCTGACCCTGCTCTGTCATTATATGTGGCCTACCACTTTGTGGCTGAGCTGCTGCTGTTCCCAGTTGCTTCCACTTTTGCTTGTTATAATACCACTAACATTTGACTAGGGAATATTTAGTAGCAAGGAAATTTCACGGATGGACTTATTGCACAGATGGCAACCTATCATGGTACCACGCTTGAATTCACTAAGCTCTTGAGAGCGACCCATTCTTTCACAAATGTTTATAAAAGCAGTCTGCATGCCTAGGTGCTTGAATTTTTTTTTTACACCTATGGCCATGGAGGCGATTGGAACTATAACTTCTGAACTGTAGACATCATTTTGGTCTTAGTGGATGGACTTTGCATCTGTCAACCACACCATAACATGGATTCCCGAAAAAGTCCCCGGCCAGTGACAGCTTTACCTGTACATTCAATTATGAAGTCAGAGCTGTACAAGGATTGACCTAAACACAATAGGGTTTTAACCCTCTGAAGCTCGTTGCCCAAGAGTAGCCCATTAAGGAGGATTTCCTAAAACAGCGGTCTCTTCCAGTGGCAGATCCAGCCATTTCCTGTCTTAATGAAGCACTGACTGTCTCTGTCAAGGGTGTCCCAGGGTTTAAGTACCCTACAGACAAACCCTAGAAACCCTTTTTAAGGTTTTCTCCCACCTTACCACCTGCTATTGTGGCTGCATCCATTTATCTGAGCTTGTGTCTGGGCCACAGACATCACTGGTGCTCCAGGTTCTGTCTTCTTGGATCCAACCGTACTGCATGGATGGACTGCTGGATCTCATGCGGCTGATCTCTCAGAAGAGCCTGTTTGTGGGTTCTATGTGAAGGACCCTTTTGCTCCAGTGTTCCACACCCATTCTGCCACAAAGCTTTGACCCTCTAAGGCTCTTAAGTTCCAAGGTAAATCCTTTCAATGAGGGGAGGTTCCTACTTCTTGTAGTGGAGGGGGGCAATTACTGCCCTTTGCAGCCTTCTAGGCTCAGAACATTTTGGACTCATGGGTCCACAGTGTGGTGTCACAGAGTTATAGGATAGAGTTTCAGTTCTTTCCTCCTCCTCGTTTTATGCCATCAATCCACCCATCTTCTGCACAAAATCAGCAGATTTCTCTTTCTAATGCCCTCATGAGTCAGGGCATTATTACCATGGTCTTGGAAGGGAAATGTTTTCAGGGTTTCTACTCCAACCTGTTCACTGCTTCAAAAGCCAATTGGGGCATTTGCCCCATTCTAGATTTAAAGGTCCTAGATCACTTCCCGCTGGTAGATAAACTGTGTTGAGCTTTTTAATTAACTGTTTACAGTCTGGGAAATTCCTGGCCTTGATAGACATAAAGGGTGCTTATCCACAGGCCTCTTCATTTCTAGTGCACTTGTCAGGGTCCTGTCCACGGCAGAAGTTCTGGAAGATCTGGCATTTCTGCCAGTACCCTGCATGGCCGCAGAAGGACACATTAGCCTCAGTTTGGTGCCAGACGGCCTTTATAAGGAGGCTCATCACTTCCTCAAGTTGCTGGATGATCTCTAGCTCCCCGTGCATTGTTCCTGTTTCCTGTGTTATTGTGATTTCCTGATACTGACTCGGCTTGCTCTTGGACCTGTCTACTCTGCTTAACCCCTGATCTGACCTCGGCTTGGCTTACGGATACTCTCTCTCTTACTCCTCTGTGTATGACCTCGGCTATCCCATCTGACTATGTTTGTTCTGATTTCCACCTGGTACCTGACCTTGGCTTGAACCGGCTATCCAGTAAATCTCTAAATCCCGGTAGGGCTTGCATACCTCACACAGGCGCCACCTGTCTGCAGACCTATCTCCGTACATCAGCAGTGCTTCTGGGTGGACCACCAACCAGCACTCCTACAGGCGACCTGTGCCACTTTGGGCCTGACTCCTGCTGTCCCACTCTCAGGGGAGTCTGGAACTTAGCTGAAAGGGAAGCCCTCTCTCCATTGGCCTCCATCACCAGGTGTTTTAGCACCATTGCTTCCTGCATTTCGCTGTGGATACTCAACACTACCAGTTTGTGGCCCTTCCTTTTTGACTGTCCACTGCGCCTCAGGTCTTCACCAAGCTTGCCCTGCTTCACTCATTGGGAATGCCCACTGTGGAAAACTTGGACAACCTCCTCCTTCTCCAGGACCTGTCAGCTAATGCAAAGGCATTGATTTCATTGGCCCCTTCTGCACTGGACCCCTTCAAAGAAGTACTCAGTAAAACACATACTATTATTCCTCCAGTAGGGTCTGGATCAGCACCTGGCTCTGATCACTATGAAGGGCAGGTTTTGGCACAGGAGTTTCTCTTTTAGAGTCCACTGGCTTCAGACTTTTTGATGATGACTGTTATTCAAATTAGCATTTACTCAGTTCCTTCTGTTCATTCTCTGCTTTCACCATGGGATCTTAACCTGGTTCTGTTAGCCCCTCAGAGACCTCTCTTTGAACTTATCAGAGAGCACCCCTTAAAAAAAAATGTATAAACCCTTCTGCGCTGATGAATATGATATGATTTAATATGATAAATTGTGAGAAAATTATGTTGCAGAACTGTGAACCAAATAACATATTCTTCTACCAATAACCAGCAGCTATAAATCTATATAAAAGTGATAAAATAATATTTACAGGCTGATTTAATAAAATAAATTATTCTTCAGTGTAAAAATTCATGCACAAATCATCCAATAAATATTGTGATCAAATAAAAGTCCTCCAAAAGATACCTGAAAATAATTTTAACCAATATTAATTTCAAACAAAATAAGTTCAAACAAACCAATCCAACTGTGTACTTGATATACCAGTGTATGAGACAGAAATGTCATGGTTATTATCTGATCGAGAAACATATAAGGTTTTAAGTAAAGATCCTACTGTGGCTTTTAAGAGTACAAAGAAAATGTTTTTGTTGAAAAAAAAGGGCTAAATGTTTAATTCCTGTATCAGTGCAGAAAACAGTAAGTAATTTAATAGCTACCTAAAATACATAAGAATTTGGAGAATCCACCAGGCAGGCCAATTGTTAATGGTATAGGACAGCAATGGGCAAACTACGGCCCGCGGGCCGTATACGGCCCGGCGGACCTTTTAATCCGGCCCGCGGATATGGCTGTCAGGATGTGTGTAGGCGGGGCAGCGTGACGAACGTGAGGGGAGGGGAGCTAGGCTCCTCTCACAGTCCGCCCTGAAGACTGGAACGGCGCGGGAACACGGCGAGAGGAACGCGCGGAGCAAAGGTAAGTGAATTGACACAGGGGGGACTTGGGGACTTAATATGGGGGATGAATTAATATGGGGAATGAATTACTATAGGGGGGATGAATTACTATAGGGGGGATGAATTACTATATGGGGGATGAATTACTATGGCGGATGAATTACTATATGGGGGATGAATTACTATGGGGGATGAATTACTATGGGGGATGAATTACTATATGGGGGATGAATTACTATACGGGGGATGAATTACTATATGGGGGATGAATTACTATATGGGGGATTAATTACTATGCTTACTATGGGGGAATATTACTATACTTACTATGGATGACACATACACATCATTCATCTACTCTTGGTCCGGCCCCCGGGTCCAATATATGAACCCATTGCGGCCCTCAAGTCAAAAAGTTTGCCCACCCCTGGTACAGGATCTGTGCCTGCTAAAGTCGGTAAATAGACATTAGCGATTCGTTTTGTTACAGATCTAAATTCAGACAAAATTTTCATTATTCAAAGATGTGGATGCATCTGAATCTTCGAATAGAACAGTCACAAACTTCAACTGCTTCAAAATAAGTTATAACGAAACAGTGAAACTCATTAGTTTCATTCGGATGTTTGAAGCATCCAAAATAAAAAATCTGAATTGATTCGTTAATAGCTGGTTGTTAAGAAGTGGACAGACTGCCAGCTATAGTGTCTCTTAACAACCATGACTCATCTACGGGATTCCCCTCTGACAGCAGAATGTAAACAACACAAGTGATGGTGAAAATAAAAATTAAAAAAAAAACAAACCAGCATGGGGGTCCCCCCCAATCCGTTCCAGGCACATATAACATTTGGTACACTTTATTATTATTTAAGTTTAATATATGAGCGGTGTACTTTTTTGTTTACTTTGCAAGGTTTATACAGTCCCCTTTTGTCTCAGCTGCTTGTAGCTTTGAGTGCTCACTTGTTTTTGTTGGGTTTTTAACAATAGAAGGTCCGGTTTGTTATTGCATAATGATTCATGACCTCCTTATGATTTGGAAAAGTATGGAGTTTGAATGTAAATTTTTGGAAGAATTGAATTCTAATGATAAGGATATTAGGTCATCATATCAGTATAGCAAGGAAAGTGGTAATATTTTAGATTTGAAACTATGGAGCTCAGATGCAGGGTTGAAGTCTGTGGTATATATTTATTTTTTTTGCTCCACTTTCTCTGTCAGCACCCAAACATCCTAAGGTGTCTTTATACTGTCTGGATATCGTGCAGGCTGTTCGTGTTCATCTCACATCTACTGCCTCACTTCCCCAACTGACACTTTTCCCTTATTCCTGTAAAGGATATACTGTCTCTCATTCCACCATTTCCAGTTGGACTAGGCAGCTTATTTCTCAAGCCTATCACCTTAAGGACAAGACCCTCTCTTTTTCCTATCAAGGGACACTCCACCAGGTTTCTTGGGTTTTCCAACAGTTGTTTGGTTCACAATGCTATCACCTAGTCTTCTGTTCACATAATCTCCAGGGTTTACCAGGTGGATTTCCTAGTCTTTTCTGATGCCAGTTTTCGCTGCAAGACTCTTTGGGCAGTCCTGTGAGCTCTTCTGAGCCTGTGTTGTTTACCTTGACAGTTATTGTGGACCTGTTAGTAGTTGTTTGCTGTGTTTTCTACGCCTCATTTAGACTACTTTGGGACATTCCTACACCTCTGAATATCTATCACGTTCCTGGTGATGGAGGCCAATGAAGAGAGGGCTTCCCTTGAGGCTAAGTTCCAGACTCCCCTGAGAGTGGGACAGCGGGAGTCAGGCCCAAAAGTTGCACAGGTCGCCTGTAGGAGTGCTGGTTGGTGGTCCACTCAGAAGCACAGCTGGTGCTCAGAGATAGATCTGAAGACAGGAGGCGCCTGTGCGTGGTATGCAAGCCCTTCCGGGATTTGGATGTTTACTGGGTAGTCGGTTCAAGCCAAGGTCAGGTACCAGGTGGGAATCAGAGCGGACGTAGTCAGAGGGATAGCAGAGGTC